AATCTTAAAGAAAAAAAGAAAAAGAAAACAAAATACTTCCCTAGTTAGAAGGGAGGAAAGGAAAGTCTTTTTTTTTATATAGAGAGGGGGATGGAGGAACAAATCAGGGCATATTATAAGGTAGTCCATTGACCACTGACTTCATATCTCTTTCTTGAAGAACAGTTGTGGGGTTTTTTTTTAATATTTTATTTATTTGAGAGAGAGTGTATGCACACGCGAGTGAGTGTGCAGAAGAGAGGGAGGGAGGGAGAGAGAGAGAGAGAGAGAGAGCACCAGTGGTGGGGGGGGAGGGAGAGGGAGAGGGAGAAGCAGAATCCCCACTGAGCAAGGAGCCTGACACAGGGCTCGATCTCAGTGTCCTGAGATCATGATCTGATCCAAAGGCAGATGCTTAACCGACTGAGCCACCCAAGTGCCCCAAGAACAGTTTTGATTTACAGAAAAATTGAGAAGATACACTAAGAGTTCCCACATTGCATCCCCACCCCACACTAAACCGCAAGTTTGCCCTATTAGTGACATCTTACATTAATATGGTACATGTTATAATTAATGAACCAATATTGATACACTATTCATATCTGAAAACCATACTTATTAGATACCCTTAGTTTTTACCTAATGTCCTTTTTCAGTTCCAGGATACCAAATTATATTTTAGTTCTCATGCCTCCTTAGGCTCCTTTGGCTGTAACAGTTCCTCAGACTTTGTTTTTGATGACTTTAACAGTTTTGTGAAATGCTGATCAGGTATATTGTAGGATGCCCTTCTGCTGGAATTCGTCTGATTTTCTTCCTCATGATTAGACTGGGGTTATGGGGTGTTGGTAAGAAGGTCACTGGGTATAGTGCCATTTTCATCACATCATATTAAGGGTACACACTATCAACATGATTTATGACTGCTGTGGCTGCCCTTTATCACCATGCTGAGGCAGTGTCTGTCAGCTTTCTCCACCACAAAGTTACTCTTTGTGTCCCCTTTCCATACTGTCCTCTGCAAGGAAGTCTGTATAGCCCATGCTTAAGGAGTGGGGAGTTATGCTCCCCTCATTATGGGTTAAGTATCTACCCAAATTATTTGGAATTCTGCATACAAACAGATTTATGTCTTCTTTCCCATTTATTAATGGACTCAATCATTTACTTATATTAGTATAGACTCATGGATACTTACATGTTGGGTTATAATCTGATACTAGTTTGTTATTTAGTTGCTTGAGCCGGTCCAAATGTGGCTCTTGTGAGCACTTCAGTTGGCACCTGTGACCCTTTGATAGACACCCAGAAATATAGGGTGGGCTTTTTTGAGCACTTCATGACTCCTTTTTATTCTACACAGGAGTCTTTAATAGTTTCTAATATTGAGATTCAATCAAAAGGAAAGATATTTTTTCAGGCATCTAGTTTAGTTTCTCAAATCTTGTGATGAAGTTGCCCATTATTTTAGGCTCATCCAAAGATATATACACTGTCTCTGCTATGCACCTCCTAGCCCTTTCCCCGCCTGGGCACAGAAAGATGAGTTAGACACGTTCTTCAGTACACGGTACGTTATCATCACCGTTATGTGCAAGTTTCTGCTCTTACTCTACTTATTTATTCTCTTACCCTTAGACTCCATTCCCACTTCCCCTTTCTTCTCCTCCTCCCCCCCGCCCACCCAGAAAACTATTGTAAACTATTGTAAACTATGTACTTAATGTGTATTTTGGCTGTATGTACTTTAGGAAAATGTACAGTGTTTTGTGCTCAGGTATTCTTAAGCAAATGGTGTTCTATTATATATTTCATTCTTTTTTTACTCATCCATATTCTCAATGTCCACACATGTGGCTATGTGTCTATCTTTGCCTTGCTTCTAATTGCTGATTGGTACCCTATATTTCATTTATTCACTCTCCCATATTGTCTCCTACTTTCCACAATCACAAACAACCCTATAACAAACATCCTTACACACACCACTGAATGGATCTATGTGACAGTTTCTTTGAGATGTATACCCGGGAGCAAAACTGCTGGATCCTGGAATACTGTAAACTTAATTTAAGTAAGTAGAGCCAGATTGCTCTCCCAGATTATACTGCCTACACTTCACCAGCACATATCCCACCAATACGAGGCATTAGCTAGCCAAATTTTTTTAGGATAAAAGTTGTAAAGTAATATTTTGTTATTTTCATTTTAATTCCACTAACTACTAGTCACTTTGAGCATCTCTTCACATTCTTCTTGGACTTTGGATTTGCGCTCTTATAAATTGCCAGTTGTAGCCTTTGCCATTTTCCCTTTAAATTTGATGTCATATTGGGGCGCCTGGGTGGCTCAGTTGGTTGAGCGACTGCCTTCGGCTCAGGTCATGATCCTGGAGTCCCTAGATCGAGTCCTGCATCAGGCTCCCTGCTCGGCAGGGAGCCTGCTTCTGCCTCTGACCCTCCCCCCTCTCATGTGCTCTCTCTCTCATTCTCTCTGTCTCAAATAAATAAATAAAATCTTTAAAAAAATAAATTTGATGTCATTTTCTTGTTGACTTGCAAGAGTTCCTTGTTTATTTTAGATACTAATCTCAACAGTTTTAGATAATGCAAATGTCTTCATTCTGCATTGTCATATCTTTACTGTGTTCTTCCTTGAAGAGAAATTCTTAACCTTGATATAATCAAATGCATCAATATTTTACATTTTGAAATCTTGTTTTAAAAGTCATTACCTAGGGGCGCCTGGGTGGCTCAGTCATTAAGCATCTGCCTTCGGCTCAGATCATGATCTCGGGATCCTGGGATCGAGCCCCATGTCGGGCTCTCTGCTCAGCAAAAGCCTGCTTCTCCCTCTCCCATCCCCCCTGCTTGTGTTCCCTCTCTCGCTGTGTCTCTCTCTGTCAAATAAATAAAGTCTTTATTTAAAAAAAAAGTCATTACCTAATGATTACTATCTTTTATAGGTGCACTGATGGCATTGTGGACACACATAGAAAATATGGCCATATTTTTAAAAGTACACTGGGGGCTATAAAGAATAAAATGATAAAAAAATCTTGGATTTGCTTTAAAATAATTTGGTAAAGTAAAAAAAAATGAAAAAAGGGGATAGAAGAAGAAAATATGATAAAAATCTTATTAATTTTAAAATCTGAGTGATGGGGCGCCTGGGTGGCTCAGTCGTTAGGCGTCTGCCTTTGGCTCAGGTCATGATCCCAGAGTGCTGGGATCGAGCCCCATGTCAGGCTCTCTGCTCTGAGGGAAGCCTGCTTCTCCCTCTGTCTCCCACTCCCCCTGCTTCTGTTCCCTCTCTCGCTGTGTCTCTCGCTGTCAAATAAATAAATAAAATCTTTAAAAAAAAAAAAAGATAAATAAATAAAATCTGAGTGATGACTATGTGGAGTTCATTATTCTATTCTACTATTTTTTTTTTAAGTAAGCTCTATGCCCCACATGGGGCTTGAAACTACAACCCAGAGATCAAGCGTCACATGTTCTACCTACTGAGCCAGCCAGACACCCCTGTTCTATTCTACTTTTGATATATTTGGAAATTTTAACATAAAAAAATGAAAAATGAGCTATTTATTTCGCTCGGTCAGGAATAGTTTTCTATATTTTCTTTTATTAGTTTTATACTTCCAACATTCACATTGAGGTCTTTAATCCATGTATGATTTTGGCAGGGATCCAGTTATATATTTCCTTATATATATTAAATATAGAGAACAAGGTTTCCCAAAAACATCTGTTAAATTATCTTCTGTTCATTCTTTTGTGGTACCACAAAATTAACAATAATTATTTGTATACATTGGTATATCTCTATCATCTGCTCTATTCTATTATGTCTAATATGTCCATTCTATTTTATTCCATTCATTGATTTGTTCTTGCACAAATATTATCCTGCCTTTATTACTAAGGCTTTGTTATATTTTAATACTCCTTTATTCTTGTTTTTAAAATTAAGCTGGCTATACATATGTCTTTCCATATAAACTTTAGACCCATTTATTAAGTTCTTAAAAAAAATCTAACTGGTATTTTGATTAGGATTGAACTGAGTTTATAGATACAATTAGAAAGTAATGAGGGGTTTATAGTTATTTCATATGTCTTTTTTTATCACACTGACTTAATAAAGTAATGGTCTTATGTCTCTTGCATTAGAATCTGGCCAATCTATGTTATATGCCTATTAACAAGGTAGTATTTAACTGAATAGTAGTAAAAGGAGATAGAACTAGTTTCAAAACACTGAATGAATAGCAAAGAAATCAGACATCGAGTCATGAAAAGGTATTTGTTAAACTCACAATTATTCTTTTATTTTATTTTATTATGTTATGTTAGTCACCATACATCATTAGTTTCTGATGTAGTGTTCCATGATTCATTGTTTGCGTATAACACCCAGTGCTCCATGCAATACGTGCCCTCCTAATACTCAACACTGGGCTAACGCATCCCCCCATCCCCTCCCCTCTAAAACCCTCAGTTTGTTTCTCAGAGTCCATAGTCTCTCATGGTTCGTCTCCCCCTCCGATTTCCCCCCCTTCATTTTTCCCTTCCCACTTTCTTTTTTAACATATAATGTATTATTTGTTTCAGAGGTACAGGTCTGTGATTCATCAGTCTTACACAATTCACAGCACTCACCATAGCACATATCCTCCCCAGTGTCCCTCACTCAACCCCCCCAACCCTTCCACCCCCCACCACTCCAGCAGCCCTCAGTTTGTTTCCTGAGATTAAGAGTCTCTTATGGTTTGTCTCCCTCTCTGGTTTCATCTTGTTTCACATTTTCCTCCCTTCCCCTATGATCCTCTGTCTTGTTTCTCAAATTCCTCGTATCAGTAAGATCACATGATACTTGTCTTTCTCTGATTGACTTATTTCGCTTAGCATAATACCTTCTAGTTCCATCCACGTCATTGCAAATGGCAAGAGTTCGTGTTTTTTGATGGCTGCATAATATTCCATTGTGTGTGTGTGTGTGTGTGTGTGTGTATCACATCTTCTTTTTTTTTTTTAAGCACAAACCAGCCCAGGGCACCTTTATTACAGTCTTGTGGGCTAAGGAACCCAGGGCATGAATTCATGGGCTTAAGAATTGGCTCTTATCAAATAAAGTTAAGGAAAAAAAACACCTATGTCAGCCTCATTCCTTTGGTCATTACAAAGCAACAGAAAACATTTGGAAGTTATTTATAAATTGTGGGAAGTTCAAGGAACATCTCTGTTCTGTGCCTTCTCTTCCCTCTCTTCTCCGGTGGTGGAAGAAGCAAGTCTTCAGGAGATGCTGCAGTAGCTGGATAATGGAGGTTTTTTCACTTTTATTTTCCATAAAAGCAGGAACGAACGAGAACTAGTGGGAATGTCCCCTTCCACAGTAGGGACAATGACTGGGTTGGAGGCGAACAGTCTCCTTTCGTTGGAAGGTGCTTGGTGCAGAAGCAGTAGGGGAGGGTGGGCTTGACAGCGGAAACGTTCATTGCTGACCTCGCGCGCGCACACACAGGTGGTGACTCTTTTAGGCAGCATGGTTTCTGATCCTTCCTTAGGATGCAGCAGTCTTTTAAAAAAATATATTGTATTATAATAATAATAATATGAATTTCTCTCTCTTGTTTTGTTTTTGTTTTTCCATTTCCTTTAGGGATTAGGGTAGGAGGGGAGAGGAAGAAAAAAGTGTCATTCATCTGTTAGGTCCTGAACAAAGAGAACTTCTGTGTGGCTGAGTCCTGCTTCCTGCAGCGTGGGGGGGTTGGGCCACTCCTCTGAAGGGATACAGGGCAGCACCCTCCGGGGAGAGTTGGCTTCAATCTGAAAGTTTTCTGGGCTTTCTTTCAAGGAAAATAAGAAGTCGTGGATTACTGTTAGAGACTGTGAGAAGTGGAATCGTCTCTCTACTCGAGAACCATTGGGTAATTTGAAAATGATCTTGACACTTTCAGGGTCATCAAGGGAAGGCTCCCGGGGCAGGCTCTCCAACTTCCTTTCCTTTTCCTCTTGTAAATTCCGCCGCCGTCTCTCTTCTGTCAACTTCTGCTGTTGCATCTCCTCCTCCTTCCGCCGCTTCCGCTCCCGCTCCTCTCGTTTCTTCCTTTCTTTCTCCTGGTCAGCCCTGAGAGAGGCCGGATAGGCCTCATCCTGCTGTTGTTTCAACACCTGGGTCTGGTTTCGTTCTTCCCTGTCAAGCCGTTCTGACACCAGGTAAGTCTGGTTTGCATCCATGATAAATGTCAGCTGGTTAATGAGATCATCGGGTTGAATGAGGCCTTCTAGCCATCCCACCACAGTCATTCTCCCATCCTTCAGCATAATCATGGCCAGGAATGGGTAGGTGTTCTCTCGTAAAGCCTGTGAGACCCTGTATCCCTCAGGTTTATTTGTGGAGCATGCCCAGAAGAGCATCCTAGTGTTTATTAGGGAAATAACTTCAGGTGCACAGAGTGTGTTGCAACAGAACTCATCAGAGTCCTGGTGATCATCTCCATGAAGATAAAGCAAAAGGAAGTGAAGCTCCCACTTGGCATCATTGAGTGCCTGGCTGTACGTTCCCTGGTAGAAGACAGGGTGTGCCCTCCCATATTTCTCTTCAAAAGAGTGCATAAATGAAACAATGTCCCCAACGGGGTCAGTGACCCGGCTGCGAGGGTCAGGCCATATAAAACGCAGAGCAAACCTAAATATATCAAGTAATGTGTAATAGGTAAACTGGAATGGAAGCATTATCAAGTAATAACCCCATCCAAGCAGCCCCCTTGGTTGTGGTCTCGAGACAACATAACTGCAGATCCTGTGGTCAGCTGTATTAACTTGCACGGGTCAGGATGGAGGTGGTACACCTTCTTGCTCATTCAATCAGTCCTGTACAGCAGCCTCTATGTTCCAGTTATGCTGTTCCAAGGTATGGTGACATTGATCCATAGATTCTATGCCAGTCAGATCCTGAAACTGCAGCAGCTTCTCTGTCTGCTCCTGGGTTAGATCCCGCTCCTCAGGCGCTACCATTTTGCCACCACCTCTAGGCTTCTGACCCGTCGGCACCATCACCCCATACCACATCTTCTTTATCCATTCATCTGTTGATGGACATCTTGGCTCTTTCCATAGTTTGGCTACTGTGGACATTGCTGCTATAAACATTGGGGTGCACGTACCCCTTCGGATCACTATATTTTTATCTTTGTGGTAAATACCCAGTAGTACAATTGCTGGGTCGTAGGGTAGCTCTATTTTCAACCTTTTGAGGAACCTCCATACCATTTTTCAGAGTGACTGCACCAGCTTGCATTCCCACCAACAGTATAGGAGGGTTCCCCTTTCTCCGCATCCTCGCCAATATCTGTCGTTTCCTGACTTGTTAATTTTAGCCATTCTGACTGGTGTGAGGTGGTATCTCATTGAGGTTTTGATTTGGATTTCCCTGATGCCTAGTGATGTTGAACACTTTTTCATGTGTCTGTTGGCCATTTGGATGTCCTCTTTCCAGAAATCTCTGTTCATGTCTTCTGCCGATTTCTTGATTGGATTATTTGTTCTTTGGGTGTTGAGTTTAATAAGTTCTTTACAGATTTTGGATACTAGCCCTTTATCTGATATGCCATTTGCAAATATCTTCTCCCATTCTGTCAGTTGTCTTTTGGTTTTGTTGACTGTTTCCTTTGCTGTGCAAAAACTTTTTTTCTTGATGAAATCCCAATAGTTCATTTTGGCCCTTGCTTCCCTTGCCTTTGGTGCTGTGTTTAGGAAGAAGTTGCTGTGGCTGAGGTCAAAGAGGTGGCAGCCTGTGTTCTACTCAAAGATTTTGTTGGATTCCTGTCTCACATTTAGGCCTTTCATCCATTTTGAGTCTATTTTTGTGTGTGGTGTAAGGAAATGGTCTAGTTTCATTCTTCTGCATGTAGCTGTCCAAATTTTCCCAACACCATTTGTTGAGGAGACTGCCTTTTTTCCATTGGACATTCTTTCCTGCTCTGTCAAAGATTAGTTGACCATAGAGTTGAGGGTCCATTTCTGGACTCTCTATTCTGTTCCATTGATCTATGTGTCTGTTTTTGTGCCAGTACCATACTGTCTTGATGATTACAGCTTTGTAATAGAGCTTGAAGCCCGGAATTGTGATGCCACCAACTTTGGTTTTCTTTGTCAACATTCCTCTGGCTATGCGGGGTCTTTTCTTGTTCCATACGAATTTTAGGATTATTTGTTCCATTTCTCTGAAAAAAGTTGATGGTATTTTGATAGGGATTGCATTAAATATGTAGATTGCTCTAGGTAGCATAGACATTTTCACAATATTTGTTCTTCCAGTCCATAGGCATGGAACGTTTTTCCATTTCTTTGTGTCCTCCTCAATTTCTTTCATGAGTATTCTATATAAACTCACAATTATTCTTGGTGCTATGCTAAATTTTGTACCCAAAAAAGACATAAGTGCATATGTTACATCAGTTGGAGGCTTACATTTAAATGGGCAACATTGAATGGATAAACACATACAAGATTTAGCACAATAAGAACTAAACTAGTTAGTGAATAGACTAATGTAATTCCGGCATACAAAAGTGCAGAGCAAATGCATATCAAGGGTGAGAAATGGGAGCGTGGGAAGAGAGAGGATAGAGAGCACCTAGGTAGAGAAAGTGTTAGAAGATAATCAGGATTTATTGTTGCCTAAAAACAACGTTGTAAAAAGTGTGCAAAATAGACTATCACATGTGTGAAAAAAGTTTATCTATACATTGTTTTTCTTGTATATATTTAAAATATCTCTGAAAGGATACACAAAATCTAATAACATTGGTTGTTTGCAGAAGTGGGAATGGGTGGTTTGGAATGGGAACAGAGAGGGAGAAAGATTGCTTACTGTATACACTTTTAAATTGTTAAAAAATTGGATTATGTAAATTATCTATTTAAAATTTTTAAAAATTAAGCTTAAAAAGTTAATGGGTCAGAAAAAAATTTCCAGAATATTTATAATATTAAATAGGAAAAACAGGCATGAATGCATACACATACATCAAAATAATTTTGTACCAACAGAGGGAAAGATGGTGGCAGAATAGGAGGAGCCTAGGCTTGCCTAGTCCCACGAATACAACTATAACTATCATATCATCCTAAATATCCCAGAAATCAATCTGAAGTCGGGCAAAACAAACTCCACAACTAAAGTTTGAGTAGAAGCCACTCAAGGAAGTAAGTGTGGAGACATGACTTGGGAGACAAATGGACTGTGCTCACTGTGGTGGGGAAGGAGCTACAGTCACAGAGAAGGGTGAGAGACAGACTCTCACACAGGGGAATGAATGCGCAGGGAAAACAAATCCCCGTAGCAATTGGCTTGGAAAGCAAAAGGACCTGAATTTTGTGAGTTCTTGCAATGAGTGGGGTTTAAAGCCTGGAGTTTTAAGGGTCAGTGTGCTTGGCTCTGGGATAGCTCAGAGGACATTGGGGCTGGAGAAGAGGCAGGGCAAACAGCCCACAGACTTACAGTATGGAAACAAAGATCTGAAGAGCTCCTGCAGCACACAGTGGAGAGGTTAGTTGTTCATCTCAGAGCATGTCCCAGAGAGGCAGCATTTATGGAGAAACCCCTCCAGAAACAAAGGACCTGGAATGTGCCATTTCACACACACACACACACACACACACACACACACACACACCTCCCCCACCCACACCACCCCCACTGGCCTCTCAGCATTAGCACAGAGTCACATGGGAACCAGCACAATACCCACACTTGTTACCTAAGTTGCTTACACCAAGACTCATGGCCCACACTTCAGGGGAACTACCCTTTCCAGTCATGTTCGCCTCAGTCCCAGCATAGTGGTTTCCCTCCCCCAGAAGACTGGTCCAAACCCCTACCAACATTAGACCACTTTCAGGCCAGGGATCAAACACTGCCCACAACAGGCAAAGAGAGCCTCTGCAGATGACTATCCTGAAAAATAAAGCAACCAGGACACAACAGGAAAGCACATGCAGCACAAACTGGAGACACCCCAGGAAGTGCCAGGCCCTAGGGAACAGGGGACCCTAAAGTGCAGGGCACTATAGGACCTCTTCTTTATAAAGCCATTACCCTCAAGAACAGGAGACATAGCTGACTTTCCGAACACAGAGAAACAGGCACAGAGACTTAGACAAAATGAGAAGACAAGGGAATTTGTCCCAGATGAATGAACAGGACAAGGCCACAGCAAGAGATTTAAGTGAAATAGATATAAGTAACATGTCTGATGGAAAATTTAAAGCAATGATCATAAGGATACTCACTGGACTTGAGAAAGAAGTGGAGGACATCAATGAGACCATTACACAGAGATAAGAAATAACATTGCAGAGATAAAAGTTTCAATAAACAAAATGACAAACACACTTGATGGAATGAACTGCAGGTTGGAAGAAGCAGAGGAATGAATTAGTGACCTAGAAGACAGAGTAATGGAAAGTAATCAAGCTGAAAAAAAGAATTATGCAAAATGAGAATATACTTAGGGAACTCAGTGACTCCATCAAACATAATAACATTCGTACAATAGGAGTCCCAGAAGAAGAGAGAAAGGGGGCAGATAATTTATTTAAAGAAATAATACCTGGGGATGCCTGGGTGGCTCAGTTGGTTAAGCATCTGCCTTCAGCTCATGTCATGATCTCAGGGTCCTGGATCAAGCCCCTTGTCTTCTCCCTCTCCCTCTGCCTCCCCACTCCTGCTTGTGCGCTTTCTCTCTCTCCCTCTCTCTCAAATAAATAAGTAAAAACTTAAAAAAAAAAAAAAAAGAAAAAAGAATACCTGAAAACTTCCCTAATCTAGGGAAGGAGACAGATATCCAGATCCAGGAAGCACAGAAAACCCCCAAAAAAATCAACAAAATCAGATCCATACCAAGACATATTGTAATTAAAATGGCAAAATATAATGATAAAAAATATTAAAAGCATCAAGACAAAACCAGACAGTTACATACAAAGAAAAGTCCAAAAGGTATCAGCAGATTTTTCAGCAGAAATTTTCCAAGCCAGAAAGCAGTGGCATGATACATTCAAAGTGCTAAATGGGAAAAACCTGCAGCCAAGAATACTCTATCTAGCAAGGCTATCACTGAGAATAGAAGGACAGATAAAGAGTTTCCCAGACAAACAAAAACTAAAGGAGTTCATGACCACTAACCCAGCTCTGCAAAAAATATTAAAGGGGACTCTCTGAGTGGAAGGGAGAGGCCAAAAATGACAATGTGAAGTTAGGAAACACAAAAGAAGTAAAATGAATATTTCTGTAAAAAATCAGTCAAGGAATTCACAAAATAAAAAGATGTAAAATATGACACCTTATACCTAAAATGTGTGGAGGAGAGGAGTAAAGAATAGGTTCAAACTTAAACAACCTTCAACTTAATATAGACTGCTATATGCAGAGGCCATATACAAACCTGATGGTTACCACAAATCAAAAACCACCAATAAATTTGCAAAGAATAAAGAAAAAGAAATCCAAATATATCACTAAAGAAAACCAGCAAACCATTAAAGAGAGAAACACAAGAATCAGAGAGAAAATCTTCAGAAACAACCACAAAACAAGAATTAAAATAGCAATAAGTATATATCTATCAAATAGAAAATCAACAAGGAAACAATGGCTTTGAATGACACACTGGACCAGATGGATTTTTTTTTTTAATGATTTTATTTATTGGGACACCCATATCGGGCTCCCTGCTCCGCGGGATGTCTGCTTCTCCCTCTCCCACTCCCCCTGCTTGTGTTCCCTCTCTCGCTGTGTCTCTTTCTGTCAAATAAATAAATAAAATCTTTAAAAAAAATAAAAATAAAAAAATAAAGATTTTATTTATTTATTTGACAGAGAGAGAGAGAGAGCACAAGTGCTGGGAGTGGCAGGCAAAGGGTGAGGGAGAAGCAGACTCCCTGCTGAGCAAGGAGCCTGACATGGGGCTCGATCCCAGGACCCTGGGATCATGACCAGAGCTAAACGCAGATGCTTAACCTACTGAGCCACCCAGGCATCCCTGCACAAGATGGATTTAACAGATATATTCAGAACATTCCATTGTAAAACAGCAGAATACACATTTTTTTCAAGTGCACATGGAACATTCTCCAGAATAAATCACATATTAGGCCACAAAACAAGGCTCAACATATTAAGAAAGATTGCAGTCATACCATGGATCTTTTCTGACCACAATGCTGTGAAACTAGAAGTCAACAACAAGAACAAAATTTGGAAAGACCACAAATACATGGAAGTTAAATAACATGCTACTAAACAATGAATGGGTCAACCAGGAAATATAGTAGAAATAAAAAATTACATGGAAACAAATGAAAATGAAAACAGAATGGTTCAAAACCTTTGGGATGCAGTAAATGCAGTTCTAAGAGGGAAGTTTAGAGCAATACAGACCTACTTCAAGAAGCAAAAAAAATCTCAAATAAACAACCTAAACTTCACCTAAAGGAGCTAGAAAAAGAACAGCAAACAAAACCTAAAGCCAACAGAAGGAAAGAAATAGTAAAGATTAGAGCAGAAATAAATGATATAGAAACTAAAAAACCCCAATAGAACAGATCAATGAAACCAGGAGTTAGTTCTTTGAAAAAAAAAAAAACAATAAAATTGCTAAATCTCTTGCCAGACTTATCAAGCAGAAAAAAAAAATGACTCAAGTAAATAAAATCACAAATGAAAGAGGAAAAATAACAATAAACACCACAGAAATACACATAAGCGTAAGAGAATATTATGAAAAACTATATGCCAACAAATTGGACAACTAGAAGAAATGGATAAATTCCTAGAAACATACAACCTACCAACTGAAACAGGAAGAAATAGAAAATTTGACCAGACTGATTACCAGCAAAGAAATTGAATCAGTAATCAAAACCTCCCAAGAAACAAAAGTCCAGGACCAGATGGCTTCACAGGCAAATTCTACCAAACATTTAAAGAAGGTGCCTATTCTTTTCAAATTATTCCAAAAAATAGAAGAGGAAGGAAAACTTCCAAATTCATTCTATAAGGCTAGCATTACCCTGATACCAAAACCTGATAAAGACTCCACTGAAAAGAACTACAGGCCACTGTCTCTGATGAACATAGATGCAGAAATCCTCAACAAAATTCTAGCAAACCAAATCCAACAAGACATTGAAAAAAATCATTCACCATGATCAAGTGGGA